ATATTAATTAGATAGAATGATATACTAATTTCATCTTAAAATATTCAAAGTAAAAATAATATTAAGAGTTTTTTCTATTTAATACTAATTTAAATATGATATTATAATCCTAAATGAGTAAAAAAGTATTCCATTTCAATAAAAATTGAAATTGTTTTCAGGCCACAAATAAATATTTAATCGTATTAATTAAAACAATGCTGGGATAAATACTCTAGATGACAGTTTGATTCTTTTAGGTTTATTATACGAAGGTTTGGATCAAATTATCACAATCTTTGAATCTTGCAATCAATTTTTTAAAAGTTCACTATACTAATTTCACTTTGAATTAATTATAGTAGGATTTAATTTCTTTTTAGAGAAAAAGAGATTCTCAAAATTGAGGTTCAATTATTTATCATTATGAATTTATGGTGATGCTGTTGTTGATTGATGCTCTTTAAGTATCATCCTTATTATTAATGTTAACCTTAATATTAATATTATACATGGATTAGCAAAGAATGAATTTATAAAAGAAATATCAGTCAAGTATGAAGTTGCTTGTAAAAAGTTTTTATCTTGAAAAAAATTAATAAATAGAAATGATACTTAAAAAATTTATAGAAAGAATTTGTTTAAATAAAAATAAATTGAAGAGCACTTAATTTATTATCCCACTTAAATATCTGATGTTTTATTATTATATCTCCTTTAATTTATTAGAAACCAATTTCCTCTTTGGTGAAAATCTTCCTAAAAAAGTTTAATGCTATCTAAATAAAATATCACTCAAAGATTCTGTTATTTAAAGACTTTTAACTTATTCTTTCTTTAAAAATGCTGCCTTTTAAATCGAAACTCATAAAGAGAAATGTTTTTATCATTTATATTTTACACAATTTAATTATTGTAAATTGTGAAAATGATTGAAAAAATATCCCAAAAAAGAGTTAACATCTAAATTAGTAATTCATTCGTTCATACATGTTTTCCTTGACATGTCACAATTAATTGATCATTTCCATCTTTAATTGAATTGTGGTCAAAAATTGGAAACAAGTGTTCTTTTTATAAAGGATTAGAGGATTAATGTTAAAATAAAATTGAATCCTCATTTTTAGTGAGAAAATAAACTAACTTACTTGAATCTTAATTTATTAAAACTAAGTAGAAGAAATGAATATTTACCAAAAAAATGTCTAAGTTAAGGCATTTACTATCCTAAACTTTATATATTTTAATTAATCTTGATAAATTTAATTCATATTTCTTGGATTTAATTGAATAATTCATTCCATTTCTATAATCGGATTTTTATCAGGATGTAACCTATCTCAAATTACTTTCCTTTAATTTAAAATTTTTGATCAACAACTCATTCTCTCATGTCAGTGATTTCTAGAATTAATTTTTAAATTTAATAGTCTATCAATAATTACTTAAAAATAACATATGTAAATACAATAATTATTATAATTAATAAACAATGAAATTCATTCCTTCAATTTATTTTCACAGAAATCTAATTTAAAAGTTAAGAATACCCTTCTAGTTTATTGTCCAAAGATGATTTGGTTATATTATTAGTGATTTTTCATAATAAATCAGAGCTTCTTTATATTATTATTAATCTTGTAAGCAATTCCCTTAATATCCAATAATAAAATACCTTTGCATTAAAGAGAAAACGTATCTTATTAATTAATGGAGAGAGCTAAATCTAATAATTTTAAGGATTCATCATATTTCTTTAATGATCTTAAACAGTCACCTATTGATATTATGATTTCTCTACCTTTGTTAGATAAGGAACCAACATGCTTAGGATCAATATTTAATGCTTTATCCAAAAAATTGATTGCATCCCATTATTTATTTAAAATTCTTAGACAGGAACCTAAATAATTAACTATTAATAAATATACCTTTTTCACTTAGAGAATAAACATGTTTAGGATCAATAACTAATGCCTTATCCAACCATGTGATTGCATCCTCAAATTAACCTAGCATTTTTAAACAGGAACCTATAAAATTATTTGTGAAAAAATATACCTTTTTCGCTAAGGGAATACACATATTTAGGATCAATTACTAATGATTTGTCCAACCAAGTGATTGCATCCTCATATTAATCCAACATTTTTAAACATTAGCCTATTAATTCAATTTAGAATCAAACTACTTTTGCTCCATAATGAAAGAATGTGGTATGGATCGATAGTTAATGCTTTATCCAACCAAGTAATCGCATCCTCATATTTATTTAATAATTTTAAGCATTACCCTATAAATTAATTATGATTCAATCTACCTTTTTCACTTAAGGATTTAATATGTTTTGAATCAATAAGTAATGCTTTATCAAACCAAATAATAGCATCCTCATATTTATCTTGCATTTTTAAACAAGAACCTATCATTAAATCTCTTATTTAAACCTTTACATTATAAAGATAAATGGTTATTGGGATTTAATTATATTGATTTATCTAACATTTCAATAGCCTAGTCATATTTATCATCCGTATATAATTACTAACCTATAAAATGATACACTACTCATTACCTTTGTCGTATAATTCTTTGGAGAGTTTGTTATCATCATTTTAATTATAATTTATTTATTAATAATTTAATTACGATAATTTCAATTATCCATATAAATCATTAAATGTATGATTTAATTTTTTTGTTTATGCTTAAATAATTGTTGTAATTGATTATTTGTATTCTGTTAATTATATGATTGAATTCAAGAAATCATTTATTTATTCAGAATTCAAATTTACTAATTTTTCTTTTAATAATTAATATTTATTTCTAATTCCCCTTTTTAATTAAGTAAATGATTGATTAACACTTTCTACTTGTGTATTTAGATCATCTATCAAACTATCACATTCTTTATTTTTATTTTCAATTAATTCTTCAAGCTTGCTGATTTTTTCAACATCATTCAAATGACCTTGATGAATTCCTTTCTGAATGCATTTAAAACAAAGTAATCTGAATTCCGTACAAAACTAATTTTGGCAAACCATTTCAATCTCATTCTGGTGATCATCCTTTTCACATCTTAACATTAAACTAAATTGCTAAATCATTTTTTTAATATTTAATATTTTTTATAAAATAAATCTATAAATCGATAATGCTAATTATCTTGTTTTACTTTCTATTGTATTACATTTTATAATTAATATCATTTTTTAACATTCCAAAAATTTTCAGTAAAATTAAAAAATTTCGATTTCCTCATTAATTTAATAGGTTAGATTGATTGATTAAGAAAAATGAAACTATGTTTGATATGATAATAAGAGTTTATTTTGATTTGTCAAATTATCAAGATCTGAAAAGTAATTTTTTTTATAAAGCAAGTAAAAGGTTTAACAATAATATTAAAAATTGTATTATCAAAAGCTAAGTGATATATCTTTCATAGGAAATATTCATTATAAACAATTGATGATGGAAAGAAAAAAAGACTATTTTAAGTTATTTCTTGCCTGCTTTTCAGTTGATCGTAAAGAATTCTAACTTGTTTTCATTTGTTGTATGATTTACATTTTATTAAGCATCTTTCAGTATGAATGTGCCAATGAAACAGGATAAAAGGAGTAAATTGCACAAATTCACCTTAGTTAAAACAATAGCGATGGAAATCTATAAAATTTGAAACCCTTCAATTGTATCTAACATATATGTGAACTAGATTAGAATAATTTCCAAGAAGCTCAAATCTACCATCTTAGAAAACATTTGTATAAATTACAAATAATTGGCTAGAAAACAGAATTCATAAAAGGTTGAATTTCTATGTAACAACATTAAAGAAAGGATATTTTCAAATTTTTATATTAAATTGAACTCAATAACTACTTTGAATTTACTTGTATACTTAAAATTAAAAGACTAGTAATAATTGTATACATCTCCATGCAATCCAATAAATTTCTATTTTAAATCTATGTTCTATATTTTATTTGATCTTTAGGAAGAGCAAGGATAATAGGATTACTCTAAGTTTATAAAGTCCCATCCAGCTTGCACTTAAATCAATATTATAGCTTTATTAAAATGGGCCAGGATTAGATTGATTTTCACAAGACTTTAAATTGTGGATGAACTTTTACGTTCTTGCGATATGCACTGATGGGTATAAATTTTCAATAAGACTGTTTCATTTCATAATTGAGTTAAATTGGTAGTAACAATGAGGAGGTCAGTGTCTAACTTGCATTTTAGTCATATATTTAACAATTATTATGTAAGAACATCTCGGCCGAGTATACATTTAAGCCTCTTTACGTTACTTACAATTGTTAAAATATAAGCACTTCAATAGTGAAACTTAGTTGGTGGTATATGAGGATGATTTGAGCAATTGAATTATTGGTGTGTCCCTTAAAAATAACATGTTTAACTTCATCTAAGTAGATGACACATTAGTGTCTGAATTTGTCCTCTATAAATATTTTATTGAGTAAGTTAATAAAGGAAAAAGGATTACTAAAGTTCTTTTTTCTAAAGAATCGCCTAACTTTAAATTTTCATATTCATTTGAAGGAAAATTAAATTAATAGACTTTCTTATGATTAAACTGAAGCCAAATATCAAAAAATGTTTCTTTTATTCCCTTGGATTGATTAAGTTAGTACTTCTAATTAATGAGATTGGCACATCTTTATAAGCTATATTTTTATTATCCTTTTGGGCATTAAGTCTTTAATTAATTTTTGAGCATAATTTTCATGAGAAATTAAGATGTATCAAAACTTGTGAAGATGGAATTGAAATTCTTTAAAGAGGAATAGGTTTACTAATTTTTGGTAAGAAGAAATAAATATTCCTGCATATTAACTTATGGAGAATGATATTTTCTAAAGGATGATATGAACAACTTGAAATTTAACATTCTTTAAGTAAGAAGAAATTACACTGTTAACATGAAATCCGTCAAAGTTCTTTGCTTTCTTCTTTTCAATTTCATTCATTTAAAGTTAATTCATTCAAACTAATCAAAACTTCAATGTTAATTTTATTTTTCTCAACTCTTCAATCAAAATACCTGGCATTTTTCATAAATGATCAGTGATATAGTGACAAGCCATATTCTTCTAACCTAACGAGTCTTTCATCTCATCCAACCATTTTCAAAATATCAAAAAAAATCCATTTCCTGGTTTCTCCCAATATACCTATAAATCTTCTTAATTTATTCCTCATTGCTTTAAAACACTTTCAATTCATTTTTCTTATCACCATAAACTCTATAGAACCCTTTTTTTTTCAAATAATCACATTTTTTTACTCAAATACTTCAAGAACTCTCAAACATTATTTTTCTCTCCTTCTTGTGTATGATAGCTCTAATATGATAGCCCATAATTTTATTTGACTTCATTTTTGTTAGCCCCCATTATTTGACGATAATCTTACTTTAAAACCAAATTGCCAAATGAGCAAGTTACAGTATCTTATAATGGAAAGTACACCAAGAATCTATAGTTTTGTAATAATCCTAAAGGGATACTTCTGATAAAAGTACTTACATCGTTTTACATATATCCTTACTTTTATAAATTAATAATATATCCCTCCACTATATTTCCTTTATTTTCTAAATGTCTAAACAATTCTTTTATTTCAATTTTTGATAGCTCTATATCTTTATACGATCCATTAATCTAATATTGATTTTTCTTGATATTGCCTATTAAATTTTGAGCTTATATCGAATAACTGTATAAATTATTAAATACGTATTATATAGGAAAGATTAGTGAAGTTCTTGTCAAATCCCATTTATCATCCTAAGTTCGCACTATTTAATCAAATATACAGATTATAATACACTCTCTAAAACCTACTAGGATATCTTTCATTTTCATATATTGCAAAAAATCATTCCCAGAGAAACTATATGCAAGGTCATCTCTTTGGCCGTTTAGTCTGAAAGCAAGTTTGCCCATAGGTAGCTAAAATCTATTCTATAGACAATCTAGGGTATTCCTATGAGAAATACGAAGCTATTCGTAACTTTCATCTAATAATGGATTACGAAACACAAGATAGCAATGACTCTAATTCATTCAAGAATTCTTCTTCAGCATATATGAATTGGAGACCAAAATAAACTAACAATTATTGTTATCTTTAAAAGATTTTCCCTACTTGTAGTGAATATACTTCTTTCTTCTTCAACTAAGATCGAATGGAAGGCCCAACCAACCATCAGATTTTTTAATATCATTGTCCGACATATTAAACTATATCATGAGGAAGAACCCAAATCTATACTATGATTTGATTTCTCACAAGGAAAATAGAAAAAACAAAGATGGAATTAAACTTAAAATAGATTGATTGCTTGATGGCCAATATAAAAGGGAATGAAAAAATCAAATTTTATAGAATGAATATCTAATCACAAACCTATTTCCATATCTTTCTCCATTCCATAAGAAATCGTATGAGGTTGTTTCTATTGAGTAGGATGCTCTCACGATTCCAGAGGGTTAGTTTAGACCAATAATGAGACTTAGTCACTTCATCAAATTGTTCGAAGCTTCATACATGTACAAAGATATATGAAAATATGTACATTCGGGTTCATGAAAAGCTATAAAACTTTTCATGCTAAATTATTGTAACCCACACTTTCTAAATGGTATTCAACAACTTTCTCTACTAGCTTCTTTTTTTATAGGACATCAACTTTGATGAACTAATAAATAACATTTGAAAGACTCAGTGTGATAAAAGTTTTGGAATAATTAAAAATCAGGCAGATTTCAATTCATCCTTAATGTGACCAAACTCTTTGCTTATGCATATAATTTTACCCTTATTAGTTTTGAAATTTACAGGATGGGTTACTAGATAATTCCTTGAGCTTTCAACAAAGATAGTTTCAAAGCGAAAAAAAATATCCAAAAATATTTCAAATCAATTTGAGTGCACTCTCAACTGAAAGAGTTAGGAAGTATCAAAGGTATACATTTTAAATTCTCTGATAAGGTTATAAAATTTAAAATAATGTTATTTCGGTCTAGGGCCACCTCTTTACTTATTTAATCATTACAACTAAACAATTTAAATCAAAAAAGATGAAGCTAATTATTGTTTGGAGTTTGCCATTTCGATAAATCCTAATAATTATTCTGCATATCAAACACTTTAAATCATGTTTTGCTCTAATACACAATTTTAAAATATTTTACTAAATAAATTAAATAATATTAGACTGCTTTAGTTTGTCGTAATATAGTTCATTCAATTTCAATTAATCCTTATAGATTAACACTCAAATGTATTCATTCAGTATTAGTTTAATCTGATTCATTAAATTTATTAATCTTAATCTTAACAATATTTAATAAGGAATGAATCCTTTAGCTAATTATTCTTATTTGGCTTCTTTACAACAAAGATTAACATAATGAGAATATATATATAATTAACAATAAAATTTTGAATTACCATAATTACATTCCAGATCTATTATCCATCTAACTGTTTAAAAAGTTAGATTTCAAAGGATTAACCTATTTTACTGCTATTTATAGAATCAATCTTCTATAAATTTCCTCAAGTATTCAAAATTTTACTGTTCTACTTAAAACTCCCTAGATAATAACTTAAGAGAGAATTTATAATCTTGGAAACTGAAATTGAATATCAAACTAACTAATGAAGTTTTTTTATTAAAATATTTTCATCTTCAACCTTCTAGTCATAAATGTGGAATATCGAAAGAAAAAAATTATTTTCAATTCAATCTTATTATATCATTTTATTAAGATAACTATTTGGCATTGTGGAAAATGTATTGACTAATATCAATAAATGATTATTGTCATCTTGATACACCAAAAAAAAGTAGCAAATTGCAATATTAAATTCTTAAAGGAAACATGTAACAGCTTGTATTAAGTATTCTTTGTAAAGTAAATTATCTTACACAGATTATCAGTTTGTAGCAACTAATGAAGCTCGAATTGTATTAATTAACACATTGAAAATTTTCTTAACATAATACAATAAACACATTTATTTAAAATAAATCATATTATAGTAAGGAATTTTTGAAATCTGTTTATTAGGATTGAGGAAAAATGTAGCATAAATTGCAAATTACAAATTACAAATCATTATTTAAAATAACAGAATTTATGATTACAATAAATTGTTTTTCAAAAATAGTATTTAACTAGATCAAGAGATTAGTTAACTTCTATGGGCCTGTTATAATTTGAAGGAAAAGGTTTAGCATATATATCAAATGCCAATATAAATTCCAATCAATAACAAGTGTTAAAATTAGAAATAAAAAAAATTAAAAATAATATCATTTTCTTAAAAATGATTAAGTGCATTTATTCCAAGATTTTTAGTATTATGACTTTCAGGTGCAAAGATAGAGGCTTAAATTGAAATGTTGAAATTTTTTCTCTATACCTAACAAATGAATCAGGATGTCTCATTTGAACTAAATAAAATGTTTTTCATTTATAAAATCTTAATTCAAGTTTTACTATATATTATATTATTATATGAGCCCTTCTAAAAATGTTTAAAATTAGGAATCTTTTTGTTCTCTATTTTTTTCATTTTGCTTTTGTATTTTAACTAATTATTAATTATATTTTTTAATTTTGAGAATAAATATTTTTAAAGATAGAACTTTGGAAATACATATTTCTTTAATTATTTTAAAGTTTAAAATATATATAATAGTATTCCATATTCTTTAGTGATTTCTTCATCTGTGGTATAAAACTATTTCTCTATCAACGTTTGAATATATTATATTCACTTTAATGTTAGTAATTTCCTAAAGTCTTAATTGGTAGAAAGATAACTTTTGAAAATTACTATACATATATGGAGAAAGGTTATATAAAATAATAATTATGTATTTTTCACAATGCATTTTACAAAAAAATAGCCAAATTTATCAGAGTCAAAGGCATAAGGAAGCAAGGAAGATTTATACGATATTTTAGCTGCCTCAAAAAAATAGAGATTAAAACATTCAAATTAATAATAGAATTGCTTAAGATGGAAGAGATTTCAGATTATCTCAGCTTTTTATCACAAGAGGAAAACCAAAATTGCTTGGAAAAGACATTCCAGCTGCCAACTTATTACAACAAAAATAATTTGAGAAGCTTAACGACGCTAGAAAGGATATTTATTTAATTACTAGACTTATGAAATAAATTTTATGTCATGACTTCAATAACATAAATTATTTCACTGAAATTAATATCTACGTTAAATAAGCACTAATTAATAAAATAGGAAAAAATGAAAACATTGTTGAATTCTTAAAATATTTAGTACATCTTACTTCTATTGATAATAATTTCATTTAAACTGGATCAAATTCTCTTCATTTATTAGTTGAGATGAATGCTGATCTGAAGATGCAATCTTTTACAAATATTTAAATTAAAAATACTTCGCTGTTAGGATCTAATTTTACCAAAAGTGACTTAAGTGGATCTAAATTTGATAATGTCGTTTCAGTGGAATAAATTTAAATGCAGCTAAATTATTCATTTTAAATGGAAGAATTTAAGAATAAATGAATTGAAGTAGTTAAAAGGTCATATTGCCTCTCTCAATTAAGTTTGCTTTTCTTCAAATGGCAATTCATTAGCTTCTTGTAGTGATGATAATTCCATTCGATTGTGGAATATAAAAACTGGAAAAATAAAATTAATGTTAGTAAATGGTAGTAAAGTCGAATAAATATGTTTCTCACCTAATGGGATATTCAAACAGGAAAGAAATCACAATTGCATGGCCATACTTGAACAGCGCATTCATTTTGTTTTTCTCCTGATAGTTATTTATTAGTATCTTGCAGTGGAAATAATACAATCCACATTTGGGATGTTTAAACAGGACTACAAAAATATTAAACTGAAGGTCATACTAATGCAGTCATATCAGTGTGCTTTTCTTTTGATGATAAAACATTAGCCTCAGGGAGTAAGGATAATTCTATCCGTATATGGGATATTCAAACAGGTCAATAAAAATCTTAATTAAATGGGCATAAATAAGAAATCAATGAACTTTGCTTTTCTCCAGATGGTTCAACATTGGCATCAGGGAGTGAAGATAAATCTATACGTTTATGGAATGTTTCATCAGGATAATAAATATCTGTATTAATTGGTCATAGTAAAAGTGTCACATCAATTTGTTTTTTTCCTAATGGTGCAATATTAGCATCTGGTAGCTAAGATAGGCTTATCTGGTTATGGGATGTCTAAACCTGACAACAAAAAATGTAATTAAATGGACATAAAGATGATGTAAATTCCATATGCTGTTCTTCTGATGCTTTAACATTAGCATCTGGTAGTAGAGATATGTATATATTTTATGGGATGCTAAATCAGGATAACTAAAATCTTAATTAAATGGTCATTTTGGTAGGGTATTATGTTTATGTTTTTTCTGATTGTTCTATATTAGCATCTGGTTATGATGATAATGCTATCCGTTTATGGGATATTAAAACAGGACAGGAAAAATTCTAATTAAATGGCCATACTTGGGGTATCTCTTCTCTATGTTTTTCTCCTGATGGCACAACTTTAGCATCTAGTGGAGATAACTCCATTCGGTTATGGGATTTTGATACGGGAAGGTTAAATTCTTAATTAAATGGCAATAAAAAATATGTAATGTCAGTATAATTTTCTCCTGAAAGTACTAAATTAGTATCTGGAGGAGATGACTCGATTTGTTTATGGGATACACAGCAATGTAAAAAAAGTCTTAATTATTAGTGATACTGAAAGAGTCAAATCAATATACTTTATCCCTGAGAGTAAGACAATAGCAACCATAAGTTAAGATAACTAAACCTGTTTTTGGGATAGTCAAACAGGAAAATAGCTTTATCCTTCAAATATAGATAATTAAGATGAAGTTACAAAATTTTTATCAGCAAATTAGCATTTTTGTTTATAATTAAAAGAAGCATATAGTATTGATTTGTTTTATTTAGTTAACACAATTAGAATTTCAAATTATCCAATTTTTTCAGCATAAGGAGCATTAATTTTGAAAGAAGAATTACAAATTAGATAGATTTAGACTTACAACAATTATTTAAATAAAAGGGGGGGGTTGTATTTTGGAAAGTTATTTTTTTGAAAAACAAAGGCAATCCAAAATTGAATAACTTGAAGAATAATAACCATAAGGAAGTTAATATCATTTTATTTATAACAGATTCTTCATTAATAGTTCTATTGATTGTCTAATTGAAAAATGTCGATAAATTATTATTCTATATTTTACTTCAAAAATATTATTTAGTAATTTTATCAGGATATCTTACTAATAAAACATCAATGTTAATTCTTGGGTGCTATTACAAAAGAAGAGAAATCATTTTTGAAATTTGAATGAAAAGAGGAAACTATTGAAACAATAGAGAATGTATCTAAAAGTTTTGCAGTAATTGAGAATAATGTTATACCAATTGAGGCGCTTTAAGTAGGTAATGATAATTTCTAATTCAGATTTTCTGAAAAATAGAAATTCCTTCAAATGTAATCACCTACATTTATAATTATAAAAGAGAATTCAGTATTTTTCAATATATCAAAATCAATTTATTTAAATTATCATTTTCTTTTTAAATATTAAAGTTTATTTGATTTACTTTCATTTGAAATATATTTGCTAAAAGAATTTACATTTTGTGAGTAAGACTGGCCATTACTAAATAACTTATTTTAACTTTATCATTAACCTCAAAGAAACCCATTAATTTTTATTTAATCAAATTGACAAATTGCCTACATTTTAATTCTTCAAAATTAACAATTTGAATTCCATTAGATTTCCCACTTTTGCTTTTTCCCTTCTAAGCAAAGTAAATTAGATTAAAACATCAAAATATTTTTGATCACAATTATTTAAAATGCCATTTAGAAACCTAATCATGCAGAATTGATACACCGTGTTTTTAGGCATAATTAATTAAAATGCAACCTTTTGAAAGGACAGGAATCTAAAGTTAAAAAATCGCCTAATATGGTTAGCCCATTCTAGCAATATTAACTAAGCTTATTTGAGGGGTTTGGCCATTTCTAAATCTGATACTCTTGAAGCCTATATATATTAGCGAAATTTTATGAGTATTGTTCTTTCTAATAAATTTAATATGTATCACATTTTGTTGAAGAATTTCTAATTAAGAACGATAAAAAGAAAAAACATAAAATGATTTGAATAATACTCTCTGTTGGTATAATAATTTACTATTTTTTTCAGGAGTCCAGTTGGATAATTAACAACCATATATGAATGTGAAAGATATATGCTGGAGTTTTAAATTTCAATTATAATTCTTGGAGATGGAATTATTTAATTATCATCCCCACTATAATTTTGAAATTCCATAACACAGTTTATTTATTGGATCTATAAAATTTAATTATTAGGGCAGAAATACGAGAGACTTGTGATGAGAGTTATTATCAATAACTATTGAATTTTCTGGAAAAATCAAATAGTTAAATTTTATTAAACATGATAGATCTTGATTACAGTATTTGAAAATCAGATATTATTTTTATTGAGATTTTGGTCATCTATGGAACTGATTCATAGGAAAAAAATAATCATGCTACAAGGTTATTATTGATATTTCAGATTGGCGTATATTTTATAAACTAAAAAGCAAAGAAAATTGGAGTGGAAATCAGCTGGGAATTCTTTCCCTGTTAATGTTGCTATTATAATCATAAATATTAATGAAAACTTTGCTTACGCTGTCATGAAAATGAATGCTGTCAGAGGAACAAGTTTAACTAACGGAGTTATTGAATTCATGATATCAAGAAATTAATAAGTTTTGATAACAAAGAATGAACTTATAGAATAAAAACACCTAACTGCAATTTTGATAGAAATGAAAATTCATTAAGCTTGAAAAATAATCTGAAATTCAGATATAATTTGCTAAATTATAGTATTTTAATTGTTTTGATGTAAAATTTTTTTAGTAATACTTATCTATAAGATTCTGTTAGTTACAAATAAATGGAAAGTGTATAGCTGGCAAAAATTTAAAATTCTAATCTTAGTTTCTGCATTTCTAATTCTTTGAAAAAAAACTGAAAATCATTAGCTTCCTTATTTTGTCTAATAGAAACATCATTTTCTTAAATTTGGAAAATTAAAACGTGTAATTATAAGCCAAAAATAATTAATTCATGAAAGCCCCCCTTGATGAACTAGGGAATAATACTTTTTCACTTGAAAATTATGTGATAGGAAGTATGACAGAATATGAGTTCCTTATCTAACAAGGTACAAGGAGGAATAGAGTGTTAGAATTTATATTAGTAAAAACTTGATCGTTCAAGTTAAAGAGATCAAAATTGCAATTAAGCATACTTAAATCCCTTATTGTTTTTGAATATCAGACAGAGTTTTCGATATATCTTGATAAAATTATGGTAAGTAGCATGGAATTTTCAACTCATTTATAAAATGGATAAGAAAGGAGAACTTGAAGACACTATTATTGATGAAGTAATGGGTACTTTAAGAATTAGCAATAATTAATACAATTTAATCAATTGGTATCCATTACTCATATATTATATACTAATATTATTGAGAACAATTTCCTGAAAAATCGATAAANTTTAATTATCATCCCCACTATAATTTTGAAATTCCATAACACAGTTTATTTATTGGATCTATAAAATTTAATTATTAGGGCAGAAATACGAGAGACTTGTGATGAGAGTTATTATCAATAACTATTGAATTTTCTGGAAAAATCAAATAGTTAAATTTTATTAAACATGATAGATCTTGATTACAGTATTTGAAAATCAGATATTATTTTTATTGAGATTTTGGTCATCTATGGAACTGATTCATAGGAAAAAAATAATCATGCTACAAGGTTATTATTGATATTTCAGATTGGCTTATATTTTATAAACTAAAAAGCAAAGAAAAATTGGAGTGGAAATCAGCTGGGAATTCTTTCCCTGTTAATGTTGCTATTATAATCATAAATATTAATGAAAACTTTGCTTACGCTGTCATGAAAATGAATGCTGTCAGAGGAACAAGTTTAACTAACGGAGTTATTGAATTCATGATATCAAGAAATTAATAAGTTTTGATAACAAAGAATGAACTTATAGAATAAAAACACCTAACTGCAATTTTGATAGAAATGAAAATTCATTAAGCTTGAAAAATAATCTGAAATTCAGATATAATTTGCTAAATTATAGTATTTTAATTGTTTTGATGTAAAATTTTTTTAGTAATACTTATCTATAAGATTCTGTTAGTTACAAATAAATGGAAAGTGTATAGCTGGCAAAAATTTAAAATTCTAATCTTAGTTTCTGCATTTCTAATTCTTTGAAAAAAAACTGAAAATCATTAGCTTCCTTATTTTGTCTAATAGAAACATCATTTTCTTAAATTTGGAAAATTAAAACGTGTAATTATAAGCCAAAAATAATTAATTCATGAAAGCCCCCCTTGATGAACTAGGGAATAATACTTTTTCACTTGAAAATTATGTGATAGGAAGTATGACAGAATATGAGTTCCTTATCTAACAAGGTACAAGGAGGAATAGAGTGTTAGAATTTATATTAGTAAAAACTTGATCGTTCAAGTTAAAGAGATCAAAATTGCAATTAAGCATACTTAAATCCCTTATTGTTTTTGAATATCAGACAGAGTTTTCGATATATCTTGATAAAATTATGGTAAGTAGCATGGAATTTTCAACTCATTTATAAAATGGATAAGAAAGGAGAACTTGAAGACACTATTATTGATGAAGTAATGGGTACTTTAAGAATTAGCAATAATTAATACAATTTAATCAATTGGTATCCATTACTCATATATTATATACTAATATTATTGAGAACAATTTCCTGAAAAATCGATAAACTAGCAATCAATTAGGCAGAGAATATGAATGCGCTTCTTCTTAAAGAAATTTTGGTGATTGATGAATTTTCATCAACATACACTGAATGTAGCATTACTTGTCAAACTTGGAAAGGTCCTATTTCTTCAAACCGTGAACATGCGATGCAATTCTAAAGGGTTGAATTTAACATTATGTATTTTTCAAGTATATATAATGGTATTTATCATAAATTTGATGAGAGTTTCTACCAAAAATTAAGGTTAATTATTATTTCATATCATATCAATTGCGAATTTAACTTTTCGAAATGGAGATATTTCTGAAAACTATTTTCTTTAATTTAAACATATCAGAGGGAACTTACTCCAATTAGTAAATTAATGGAAATATTTCATAATATATGGTAAATCCAAATTCAACTTTTATTTTAAAATTGAATGTAGATATTAATAGCCAAAATATGAATAGAATTATGATCTTGATTCGATATTTATCATTAAATAGTACTTGTGCAAATGAATATAATTCAATCATTAAAACATAAACCCAACACTTTTTAATTTCTAAATTAAGTACATTATTATTGAATATTATTATAAATTTTATCAATATCAATTTAACTCTAAACTTGAAGTTAAAGCATTAGTGAAAGCAAATATTAACATAATTAGGATTGAGGAGATTACTCTATCTCTACATAACTTTACTTAAAGTTTGATAAAAATCTATAGTTTGAATTTTTTATGATTTCTTTTTTATTGTCAATGATTCTTCTACAGTTTCCTATCTAATCATCTCAAAATCTAATGCAAATGCACTAGATAGCAAAAGGAATTTAAATCACATAGAATGAATGCTAATTTAAAAATGACATCATTCATACATTTCATTCTATTTTCAATAAGAAGACAAATTAATTTATGCAAATAATGAAAACTTATAGATTATTTATATATAGTTATCTATTTGCACAAGTAATTCTGATATAAACTTTAGAAAATATAAAAAATGCTTATTAATAATTCCTTTTTACGATTTGGATAGAGAGGTTTTGATTTTCATTATACTACTTTATACAATAAATTAAATGGTATTGTAAAAATAATTCTTCAAAAAAATGAAAATCACAAAAGAGAATTTAAATTTTTTTTAAATATTTAATTCTATTAAAGAAGATCTAACATGATGTGCATCTAAACTAAAGAAATTATATAACAGATCATTATACATTAATTGTTAAATATCCATTTGTTGCAAGGGCTTTAATTTATTAATTTTAATCTATAAAGCTAAATAATTAGATATATTATTATTAGATTTTATGATATATCTATAATTTCAGATATCTTATAAGTTTATTGAAAACATTAAAGCTTCTTCAATTTTTTGATTGTAAAGTATCTATTTCATCTCATAAAAATTTTCTTGTATATTGATTAAAAGTTCAGAATATGCTGGGGTTTATTTTACATAATAAGTTTTGTAAACTAATTCTTTGAGTGTGTTACTACATTGATAGTTTGATTTGTAAAGCTATTAAAGAGAACAGTCATAGCATTTCTTGAAATCACTTTCAATTATCTTTCCTTAAGGGCAAACAATTGTAATATCTATTGTTACCTTTTCGAGACCCTTATCTAAGGTAACATAGTATTCCCCAACTGTATCTAATACTTAATTATTGTCTAAGAATTAAATTGATATTTAAGTAGCAGACAAAAGTTATGATTTTTGAATGACTTAGAAATGTATCAAATTTAAAGAATAAAACTTTGTGCTTATGATATGACAAAGATATCCATGAGAGTGAGAGCAAGGAGTAAAAGCACTGTACCCTAACATTAGGAAAAATATTTACAAGTTTTTAAACTATACTAATATGTGGAAGCTTCTTAATACCAATATTATTTATCTAATCTCACAGCATCAGTATAAGGATATCCCATCCCAGTAAATAGGGATAAAAACCATGCATTTTATACCTCTTCAATAAGTTTTATGTAATCTTCTGTAGAATCAATAAAAAAGAATTTTTAGAATGCTTCTTTTGGTCCTAAAATAATTTGAAATCCCACTTAAACCTGTTGTGAAAAATCTGCAGGCACCTTTGTCAAAGAGACTGTTACATCATCGCTTGTAATTTCATCAATCTCATTTTTAGATAAAAAAGTACTTAAAGTTTAAAGTTGATTTCATCAAAATTATGACTTATCAAGGAAATGAGAGCAAATTCTGTATTCACATTTTTATTCTTGTGCTAAAATTTCGTTTAAGTAAGATCAATAGTATTAAAAGCATTGACTATTTAAAACCTCTAATCATCGATAGCATACCACTTAATTCTAACACAACTTGCCCAACCAGTTAAGCAAACTACAAATAAGTTGAAATCTTAATGGATATATGTATATTTCACTTTATTTAGTGATATTATCGATCCACATTCTAAAATCAGTTTTCACATCAACACTGAGAAGATCTAAGACAAGAAAAACTTAAGGAACATTATCAAAAGGAGAATTAAACGCTATAGTAAACGTATATTGAATTTGGTTTTTGCAATCAAAATTGGCATTTTGTTACTAGCATGTTTCTTAGCATAACCCTTGATCAAATATTATGCCACTGATTTATGGTATAATTAATAATAAGAGTTTTAGAGTTTTGGGTATCATTATTGATTCTAAATAATATTAATTAAATCCATATCTTAAATATTAGACAGAAGTATTCAAAATTAACAAAAATAATTTTTAATAAAAAATGAGAAAAAAGTATTTATATCAAATTAAATATTTTGAAGCACTATAAACAGAAAATTAAATTAAAAACAAATATGAGAAGAAAATAGAAGTTAAAACGAATTTCTTGTTGATGTTTAACCTCTTGAACTAATAATTATATAATTTATTATATACACTAAGGTGAAAATTTGTATAATGATTGTAATTTTAGAAATTTCTTACAGTATAGGAAATCAATTTATATACGAGATTCAATTTTTTTATATTTGAATTGATTAACTTAACTCAACTTAATGATTCCTATAAAATATAGTAATCTTATTTTCTGGTAACTATTAACTCTTTAGATTAAATACATTTTAAGTTAGTTATTAGGTTATAATGCTTAAAATAAAT